TCCGGGTCATGTGCATATAGGTAAGCAGCTTTGTGGTACTGTAACTAAGTCACATAAAGTTTTATTTGTATACTCATTTTGTAGTATCACTCCACTGCTGGGTTCGTTGACTGATCAGATTTTGGAAGCACGTGATTTACCCACGAGGTTGTGTCATTGAGGTATGATCCGAATTATTTTATCCGTTGCGTTAATTTATAATGCTTTATGATTTACAGGTTCAATATATATATTTTGGTAAGAAAAATGATTGAGGCCTTGAAATTTCGAGGCTTGAATGCCTTGAAGAATGCCCATCCAATTGTTTCTCCACACGAATAGTTTCATGTATGCATACATGCAAACTAATCTTGCAACCTCTCCGTTGTTTTTTTTTTTTTTTCCCTTTAGAGGGGGGCTGTGTTGGTTTGATTTTTCTTTTTCTTTTTTCTTTTTTTTTTTTCCTTTTTTTTGCAAAGGTGGTTATATGTAAAAATGTGCTAAAAAACTAGACATCTCGCACTAATTTAGTCTATGTCGTTTGATAAGGTAAGTGAGTTGGGTTGGATTGATTAAGTGATAAAATTGACTGATCAGTTGCTGCTGGTTAAAATTTCTTAATTTTATACAGTTTTGTACGAGTTCATACTACATTTTTATTTCAAATAAAGAAGACTCAAAGGAAATTGAAATAAAAATATAGTATGGACTCATACAAAATCGTATAAACTTAACAAATTTTAACCAGCAGTCTAATTGATCAGTCAATTTTATCACCGAACCAGTCTAACCCAACTCACTTACCTTATCAAATCACATAAACTGAGTTGATGCAAGATGTCTAATTTTTTGACACACCCTTACATATAACTATCCTTTCCACACACACACAAAAAAAAAAAAAAAAACATGATTCGAGGCATTCAAGCCTCGAAATTTCAGGCCTCTAGCACGCACGACTGTTAAGGCCAAAACAAAAAACTAAGACGTTGTCTTCAGATGGGACCTCCAATCAGCTGAATCCCAAATTAATAGAAGTCGGACCGAAGGAGGAGGATTTTGAATAATTTACAGCTCCATTGATGCTTGCAAGACTTCTACCGTCATTCTATCTACACATCCATTAGCCTCTTTCCGCACGTGCTGCAAGAAACAATTCCAACATTTTGCCATGAGATTCCAAATTTTCAACACTACATTATGCTCCGGATGCATCTGATTGGGGTGTTTAATCAGATCAAGATCAACTTGTGCATCCATAGTTAAACAGTTCAATCTTCTTTTTCAGCTAAAGAAAAGTTAACCCTTTTGTAAAATTACAATAGCGATTCATTGTTGCTGATTCAAAGTTTGTATAATGAAAAAATATATATATATACACAAGTGTAATTGGTTTTTTTTTTTTTTTATATGTAGCGATAAAAATAATTGGGATGAATAATACATTAAGAAAAATTCTTTGAATTTAAAATTTTCAAAAATATTTTTTGAATTTTTAATCTGTTTTTTTTTTTTTTTTTGGTATTTGGTAAATTTTGTAGAGATTTTTTCACAAATTTTATACTTTCAATTGTAATTTTATATTTTCTTTACAAATTTTTTGTTTTTAAGTACATTAAGGTTAGGTGCATAAAAAAATTAACTAAAATACGAAAGACAATAGGGGTATTTGGTTCAGCTATTAAAACAGATTACAGATTATAGATTATAACTTAACATATTATTATAGTTTATAGCTTTAATTAGAAGTTGTTAATCTATTTGGTACAGATGTTGAATAATAGATTTAAGTTGCTGAGTAGTGTTTAGTAAATAAATTGTGAAATAATTTTTTGATGTATAAATGTCCTTTTTACCACGGTTAATTAAAAATTAAATTAAAATTTGTTAGTTGTAAATTGAATTAATTTTTATTTTTTGTTATTCACTACTAGTCCACATTTCTCATTAAAAAAAAAAAATTAATCCATAGTCCATTTGGATATTTTTCTATTTTCACCAAAAAAAAAGTAATCTAAGAATATAATCGTAAATTAATATGCTCACAGTAGAAGCTTATAATCAAAAGTTGTGGGTGGACAGTTTCTCAAAATCAACTTTTTTGAGTTAAAATAAATTACTAAAATAAAAACTGTTTGAAATAAATTTAATCAAACCGTTCAAAATAGTTTTTTCAAAACTAGAATCTATAAGTTGACAAAAAAAAAAACCAAACGCCCCCAATAAAACATGAAAAATATTTGAAACCAAACCGACATACAACTCAAAAACAGAGTACCAAACTGAATGAAAATGAATAAATTTATTTTAATGGAAATATGACATTAGGTCCAAGAATTTATTTTTTCAGAGATAAAAATATGATTAATGAAATTATTTAGTAAGAATGACAAATTATTATTTTCAATGATTTTTTTTTTTTATCTCGTCGCCGCTAGATTGTTACTAGCCGGTCGACACTGGAAAAATCGTCATTGTTGAAAAAATGGCTAAAAAAGTCACTATTGGTGGTAATGATATGAACAAATAGATGACACATAGACAAATAAGAAATAACATATAAATAAATAGATAATTCGTGGACATATAAAAAAAAATGTAAATAGACAAGTGGGCGGCAAAAAGGCTTTGTTTGGTATGAGATATTTTAGTTGAATTAGTTAATAAAGACAAAACATCTTAATTTAGTTAATAAGACAGAATGTCACATTCAAATCATAATCATTTCATTTTTTTTTCACAACTATTAAATCAACTAAAAAAAAGGCAAAATTTGTTTCAAACATAACTTTTTTAATCAAACTAAAATAACTAAAAAATTGAAAAATCAAACTAAATTAACTCATCCAAACAAGGGCTAAATAGACAAGTAAATAGAGATAATAATCTTTTAAATTCTCTTGTCCATTTAACTTAAGAAATAGAACTTTGAGGCATGGAGCAATTTTGTCAAAACTAAAGACTCTGTTTGATAAAGGTCTGGAATCGTAGTTTCACCCCTTACTTTAAATATCATGTTTGGTTAATGTTTTTAAAAATTGATTTCATACTCACTTTTCAAAATATGTCTACCCAATCATCTTCCGGACATCTGGCCGATCGTCCTGTTGGTTGACTGGAACAGTATTCGGTTTTTTCATTTTATATTTTTTTTTGTACTTGTCATTTTTTTATTTTAATAAAAAATATTTTCAGAATTTTTTTAAAATTTTTTATGAGTTTTGAATAGAATTTTGAATTATGTGTTTGGTTATGAATTGTAAGTTTTTGAATTAAATATTATATGTCACATCATCCATTTCAAATTCAATTCAAAAACTCTTTTCAAAAATCTTTTCAAAGTTTATAACTAAACAAATTTTGTACACTCAAATCATTATTTCAAAATTCACAAACTCAAAATACAATTCTATTTTTAAATTATAATTTTAAAACTCTACCAAGCGCTACCTAAAGTGCTCCGTTTGGTTTAGTTTTAAAATTTATTTTGGAAGATAAATTTTTGAAAATTTAAAACTTGTTTAATTATGAGTTTTGAAATTAATTTTTGAATTGTATATTTTGAAAGTAATTTTTAAAAATTTACAAATTTAAAACTTGTTTGGTTATGAGTTTTCAAAATTAGTTTTTAATTAGATTTTTTTTTGGATATTGTAATCAAAATTTTTTACATGATTATAGTAAATTTTGTTTAGGAAAATATTTGAGACCCTTATAAATCTTTCACAATTCAATATGTGATTTGACAACTGTTAGTTTTTAATTAGTTACACACTCAATGATATGGGATCCACTACCCTTGCCACATTATTTTGGATGCATTTATGTGTGTAAAATGTGGGTCTCTAACATTGTTGTTTTGTTTATTCCTTTTATATACATAGTCAAAAAATTTTATAATATTTTAATCAATTTTATTTTTTTTCTTTAGATATTTTTATTTTTATTTTGTTTACTTCTTTTACATACATTACCCAAATATACTTTAGCCCTATTTGGTAGGGCTTATTTCTAACTTATTTCAGCTTTTAGTTTAATTTAAACTATTTTGATGTGTTTGGTTCAGCTTAACAATACAACTTATAACTTTTTGTAAGTCAAAAATCAACTTATTCTTTGAGTTAGGGAGGAAAAGCTTAATTTATAAATTAAAAATCAGCTTATGTTCACAGTTATAAGCTATAACTGTTAGGTTATAAGTTATAATCACTTTCCCACAATTCTATCAAATGGGACCTTTGTAAATAGATATAATATAATTGACAAGGTAAAATTTTATATGTATATATTAGTTCGTAAGAATATTTTTAAAATTTTAAAATATTTTTTTGATTTATATCCACTCAATCTATATACATTTAAAATATTTCTTACATTTGTTTTTCATTATTTTAATTGCTATTTAGGTATATTTTTTGGATCACTTTTATTTATAAGTCAAAAATCAGCTTATGTTCACAGTTATAAGCTATAACTGTTAGGTTATAAGTTATAATCACTTTCCCACAATTCTATCAAATGGGACCTTTGTAAATAGATATAATATAATTGACAAGGTAAAATTTTATATGTATATATTAGTTCGTAAGAATGTTTTTAAAATTTTAAAATATTTTTTTGATTTATATCCACTAAATCTATATACATTTAAAATATTTCATATTTGTTACATTTGTTTTTCATTATTTTAATTGCTATTTAGGTATATTTTTTGGATCACTTTTATTTATATATATATATATATATCTATCTAAACTATAACAAATTATTTTTGGATCACTTTTATTTATATATATATATCTAACTATAACAAATTATTGACCAAATAAGTTTTTGAGTTGACGATGGTCAAATTACGATTTGAATGGTCTCTAATGATAGAAGTCGAACTAATCAACGTGACGTCACTATAAGAAGGTACGAAACGACACCGTATCAGTACACAACTGTCTTCAACTTTCCTCATTTAGATTCGGATCGTGGCATACTAGATAACGGAGGTAGATAGAGACAGCGTACGAGAGAGAGAGGTGTAAATCTGAAGGAGGAAAGAAAACAACACACAGCGCACAACGGTCGAGCCACCTCGTTGTCATCGTTGCAATCATCGTCTTCCCCCTCGTCCTATTTGTTTGTTTCTCGGGAAAAAATCTTAGAACCGACCTGTCTCTCTCTTTTTCGGTATAGATATACATACACTCGCTGGTATATTACAGAGAAGCCGATGAATAAAGCTAGAAAGAAAAGGGGAAAGAAGGGTCGAATCTGAGCAGCTGCCAAATGCTTTTTCTTTCTCTTTCTCTCCCTTTCTGAGAAAAGAAAAGAAAAGAAAAGAAAAACATGGCGGACGATCTTTGTCTCCTCATCAAGGTGCGTTGGGATTACTTTGATCTTCATAAACACGCATTGCGTGTAGTATATGAGTTTGCTATTTGGATGAATAAAGATTCTTTTGTTTATTCTTTTAATTATTTTTTTTCTGTTAACATGTCACATGTTTGTGTGTCTTGTTCGATCTGGGTTTAGAATAATCAAACAATTTTGCCTATTTTAGGGCTTTGTTTTTGTCAATATAGTGAAATAGAAGCAAACCCAGATTCTATTTTTTATTATTATTCAATTTTCCATGGAATATTCCGTTGGTCTTTTATTATTATTTTTTTTAAAAAAAAAATTAGATGAAATTATTGTAATTATCCTTGTTTTATAGTTTTTGTAGTTCAGTCACTTGGGATTATCAATTCCAGGCTTTTGTATAGATAATTTTGAAAATATCTATACCATTTATTTGTGGTATTAGCTCTTTACTCTTGTTAACATCAGAGAGTGACATTTGATCAACATACAAGCTTTTATTTTTAAGGCTTCTGATTGGATATATGGTGAATACACATATCATTTATTTGTGTTAGATTAGAGCATCTTCAACCCTTTACCAATTATTTCATCTAATTTTATTACAAATTTGAGTAATATGAACTACTCCAAATTCCAATCCTTTTATCAAATTTTCATCAAAATCTTTTAAAAATTTCTCTTATCCCCAAATTTTCATTTTATTATCAAATTTGATGGGTCATCTCCAATGATTATCTTTTTAATTTTTCATCAAATTCAAATTTGATGAAGGATTTGATGAGTTCTCAATTTGATGAAAACAGTACTCTTCCTCGATTTGATGAACATTTGATGAAAGGATTGAAGATGGTTTTTGAGCACTTTTTCATCTAATTTTTAAATTTGATGAAAGGAAAGATGAAGGATATCTCTAAGAGCATCTCCAACGGTGTACCAAATGTTTCACCAAATCTGAGTCGAAAAGGGGTCATTTCCTTAATTTGATACTTCGCGCTCAAGGAAAGATGAAGGATATCTCTAATCCTTCATCAATTTTTTCATCAAATTCAAATTTGATGAAAAATGGCTAAAAATGTGTGCTCCAACCATCTCATCAAACTCGTATCAAATCAAGGGAGATGGAATTTTTTCACTAAATCAAGGACGAACCAAACCCTTCACCAAATTCCCAACATTCATATTTTTACTCAAATTTGATGAAATTTTAAAAGGAGTATGGATTGAAGATGGTTTTCTTTCATCAAAAATCGTTAAAACAAGGTTTTGGGATAAGTTTGGAATTTTCAAAAAGATTTGATGGGAAAAAAAGGAGGATTCGAGTGTTGCATATCAGATCAAGCATTTAACCATATTTTCGCTCAAATGTGATGAAAAAGGCAGTAAGGATTGGAGATGCTCTTAGGAGCTGTCTTGAACACCAGCCTTTAGGTTGCGTTTAGATTTATGGATTTAAAATAAAGTGATTATTATGAATTGGGCACCAATCATTTACGTATGATATGATAGTTTAGATATAGAATTTAGGATTGAATTTGAGAGCTTTACCACGATGAATTATGATAGATTTGAAATAACAATGTAAAACTAGTTCATTGAAATCATTTACACTAAGGATTATGGTTGTACAAAGATCATAATAAAATATTTTCTCTTCGTACTCCACTCTTTCTTTCCCTTTAGTTTTTCAATCTATCTGTAATAGCTAATCTCCTATATTTTTATAAAGTTTAACCTCAAATTCATTCATTTGAATTCCATCTATCCAAAAGAAGCCTTAGGTTGCGTTTGGATTTATGGATTTGAAGTGAAATGATTTGGACGCTAATCATTCAAGTAGGATAGCTCAAATTTAGATATGTTAGTTTAGATATGGATTTAAAGGTTGAATTTGAGAGCTTTACCACGATGAATTATGATGGATTTGAAATAAAAATGTAAAAGTAGTTATTTGAAACCTTTCATCTTAAGGATTATAGTTATACAAAGATGATCTCATAATAAAATGCTTCTATTCTTACTCTAGTCTATGTTCCCTTTCTGTTTCTCATACTAGCTAACTCTCCTATATTTTTATAAAGTTTAACTTGAAATCACTTGGTTTGAAATTCATTTGTCCAAACAAAGCCTTAATAGGATTGGATTTAAGTGTCAGGCTTATGTTGAGAGGACTCCACAAACACTCACATGATACATACTTTTCTTGTGTGGTGATACATAGCTAATTCTCAAATATTTATGAATTTTAACTTCGAATCCCTTCATTTGAAATCTTCAATCCAAACAAAATATTAATCTTAATAGGATTGGATTTATGTGTCAGGCTTATGTTAAGAAGACTCCACAAATACCCACATCCTTTTTTTTTTCTTTTTCTTTTTTGTGTGATGATATACCTGTTAATTTCTTCATTTGAATTCAATGTATCCAAGTGGAGCCTTAATGTTAATACGATTGGATTTATTTGTAAGGCTTACGTTGAGATGACTTCACAAATACCCACAATTTTTTTCTTTTCTTTTTTTGGTGATTTATCAGTTAATTTCTTTAAATTCCAGGATACCCTGATTATAAAGGCTCCAAAGAAATCTCCATTGGTGTTGAGAATGTTTGTCTTGGCATTTGCAATGGTCTGCGGTATTTATATCTGCTCAATCTGTTTAAAGCAAATCAGTACTCGCAGCAATGTTGGATTCCTAAATGTCCAAGTGATTAATAGGCCGTGTGAGCCACCTAATATAGAACCATCAGAAAAACTTTACGCTCACTTCCCGATGCCCAATACTTTTAGCAGGTACAATATTAATCATATTTTGTTCCGGAACTAAGTTCCGCATAGATTTACTAATACGTGGTGATGTGGATAATTAGGGATGAGTGTGCATGCAACCCCGTGAGATATTTTGCCATACTGTCGACACAGAGATCTGGGAGTGGATGGTTTGAGACGTTATTAAACAGTCATATGAACATAAGCTCCAATGGAGAAATTTTCTCAGTAAAAGTCCGGCGGAGTAATATCTCAACAATCGTGGAAACTTTGGATAAAATATATAATCTTGACTGGCTGACTAGTGCTTCCAAGAATGAGTGCACCGGTGCAGTTGGCTTGAAGTGGATGCTTAATCAGGTGAGTGATGTCTTGAAATATTTGTTTTTTTTTTTCCTGTCTTAGAAATTAGTTGTGCATCAATTTCTTCATAGAGATGACATGCCCACGAATTTAGTAGTTGCTACTATTTTGTCTTCTATAGTTGACGTGTACGTCACTGTAGTCCCTTCTCGTTCTAGGGGTGTTAAGCAATTATTGTACAGACTAGCTTTGACTGTAATGATTGTTTGATTTTATAATTTTGTCAATTATTCCATGTTACCCTAACAATACAGCTGTGCTACGAGCACAAAAAGATTTCACATAACGACAATCTAAGAAGTATGGATGCGGACACACGACATGGATACCGATACACCAATCGCCAATTTTCAAAAATTGCAAGACACAACACGTGGGTGATATCCATGAAATATATAATTTTATATATTTGTTATATGTGATATATATGAATATATCATTCAAAGATAATAAAAAAATACAATATAACGCTAATTCTCATAAATTTATATGATTTTTGTTTTTTGATTGTATCTTAAGTTATAATTATTTTCACCTTCATTTAATTGATAAACACATGTGTTTAAGCAATAGACATGTGTCTTCCAAGTGTTAAAAAGATTGTCTAGGTCTTTAAAAGAAATTAAATAATAGGACACATTTTGAATAGTGTCGGACACATGTCAGGGAAGTGTCAAAAGAGTGTCGGTGTTTGATGGACACGACACGGATATGTCAACTTCTTGGAAGTGTCTGTGCTTCTTAGATGACAATACAGCTGTGAGACAAAGGTTTTCACACATGTGGGTCCCATTCATTTGCCTCACATTTGAGTCCCGTCTTGTAAAAATCCTCTGTGCACTTATGCTTTCTCCTAACAATAAAATCCTAGAATAATTGTTACAATTATTGTTTCAAACTAGGCTTGGATTGGAAGATTGAATAGTCTCTACCTTGAATCAAGGATTTTCAGGTCTGGTTGCTGGGCAAACCTGCTGTGATCTTATGACTATTGACATAATGTTTAGTATAACTAACAGTTACTCTCATACTCCACACTCTCATACTCCACACACTATACTCTAAGGTCATGTTTGTTTGGACGGACTGGATTAGATGAGATTGGCATTCCTAGATTCTTAGTCTTGGGTTTATCAATCCCTTTGGATTATGTATCCTATTCCATAATTGGATTGGCTCAAGATTATGAACATGGATTAATAAAATTCTATCAATTTTGCAATTTAACTAATTAGTACAAATCTCTTCTTAGTCGTCCATTTTGTATCTCACATCCTCTCTTGGGATTATATAGTCCCCCATGTGGGGCACACCATGTTCAGATGGACTATTAGTCCGAACCTTAATTTTCTTAGCCAAACATCGGATTGTATATGTTGTTGGATTATTAGTCCAATCTCAAAACTATGCTTGCCAAAAAAAACATGGCTAAAAGGACTTTTATATATACGTATATTTTAATTAGAATTCATATGTATTTGATTTTTTCCTTAACCATTTTTGGTTTTTGAGTTATGTGATCGGGTCAGATGATTGAATCATTAGACCCTTGACCTGGGGTTTGTACAAATGTTGGGTAATGTTTGGTCCTAAGGAGCACAGGCACTTCCAAAAAGGTGGCGTGTTCTTGTCGGACACTTCCCAACATGTGTTCGACACTCATCCAAACGTGTCTTATATTTAAAAAAAATTAAAAATTAAAAAAAATGGACTCAAACACTTGGAGGACATAGGTGTCCATTGATTAGACACACTTGAAACTAATTATAAGTTTGACCAAAATAACTTAGACTATAATGGTAAAAGAAAACCAATGTCAATTTATAGAAATTAGTATTATATTGCATTTATTTATTGTTTTTGAATGATATATTCATATATATGATATATAATAAATATATAAAATTATATATTTTGTGTGTGTCCCTCGCGTGTCATGTCTTGTATATTTTGAAAATTACCGTATCGGTGTGTTTGTGTCTATACTTCTTAGGTTTGGTCCTCAAAGCGTAGATCAGGGCTGAAAGATTGCCATATGGTAATTTAGAGAAAGCATATGATAGGGTCCCAAGTGACTGTTAACTTTATAGAATTATGGCATTATTGATCACTGATGAGAGACCATATGAAGGAATGATGAGATAGGATGAATTTTCAGCCACTATAGGTGTAAATTAACATTTTGATTTTTTTTTTTTTTAAATTATCATTATTGCTTTCTAGGAAGTTCTTACTGTGTAATTCACATGTCTCTCCACATCTCTCATGCAAATGTTCCCGAGCTAGTTACAACTCGAATGCATAGTCTAGCATCATAGTAGTAATTTTTTAAAATTATTTTTAAGGATTGGCATTGAATTTATACCGTTTCAAAGCATAAGATGTAGGAGGTTTTCTAGTGCAATTTATCCGCACAAGTATAGTTTTAGTTCAAGAACTATGACAATAGTGAAAAATGAGTTATAGCTGTTTGAGAAATACTTTTAAGTCTATAGGTATAATTGGATGTTTGCTTATGAGAAACACATAAATATGTTCTCATGCACTATTCATATACTTGAAGAGTGGGTTTTGAAAATAATGGATGATGACAATTCCTATGGATGAATAACTAGAGAGAGAAAAAAAAAAAAAAAGAAGAAGAAGAAAGATGGGTTGCACCACCCTATGCTTGCCTATTGTAGAGTTTAAGGTGGTGTGACAATTATTTTTTGGTTTTTTTGACAACTTGGTATCCGGCCCACTAGACCAACTATTATGGGAGACCTATTTCACCGTCTACTAGTGGGAGGTCCAATTAAAGCCAAGGTAAAGTCCGGTATGGACTGGCCCCAATAATTTATTTGTACCTAAGAGGTTTTCAACCTAAAACCTAAGGGGAGCACACCCCCTGGCACCAGGCCAACCCCTTGGGGTTGTTTAAGGTGGTGCCATGGTATGACATATGAGTTTTTTTTTTAAATATTCTAAAAAAAAAACAATTTAGAGATTTGACCAATTTTTCAAACTATTTAGGAAACTCTCTTGTTTTTTGAAATCGCATTTTGAAAATGCAATTTTAAATTGAAAATGCAATATATCTTAATGAAGTCCATGAGTTTTTTTTTAAAATATTCTTAAAAAAAAAACAATTTAGAGATTTGACCAATTTTTCAAACTATTTGGGAAACTAACTTGCTTTTTGAAATTGCATTTTCAACATGCAATTTCAACAACTTGAAATTGCATGTTGCAAATGCAATATATCTTAATGAAGTCCATGTCATCATAAACTTGCATTTTCAACCTGCCAATTTCAAGTTTCAAGTTGAAATTGCATGTTGAAAATGCGATTTCAATTTAAAATTGCATTTTCAAAATACAATTTCAAAAAGTAGGTTAGTTTCTCAAATAGTTTAAAAAGTGGCTCAATTCTCTAAATTGTTTTTTTTTTTTTAGAATATTAAAAAAAAACTTGTGACATATCCATTGAATATAAAGCTAATTAATTCTGAATACATCTTCTTTTGACAGGGGAGCTTTCAAATTGATAACATATAATTTCTTGGTTAGAAAAGAGCTATAGAGGGAAAAAGGAAGGAAAATAATGGAGAATGAAACCTCCTCTAGATGAACAAACAAAATAAAAGGATAAAAAAACTCTTTTTATGTTTTTAGACTAAGTATCAATGTACTAAATGAAATACATCACACGCCTTTTCAATGTGAAGTTAGCCTTGAAATTTGCCAATCTAGGTTCGAAGGGAAATACACACAATTTATTTTGTCAGCGAAGTCAATGTTTCTTTGATTATGTTGGACTCATTCCAGTAAAAATATATTTCCTAAACTTTTTTACACAATTTTAGCTGTTAAAATAAATAAATTTATACTAAATTTTCTGTAATTTTAAGATCAACAATTTTAGAACTTCTATTTGATCAATTGGATTCTTACTTACCCATGTTGGAAATAAAGTCAGCATACTCCTAATTTCACTTCATAATATTAATTTTCCTTTTTGTGGAGTAACCGCTGTAGTTTTAGCTCATTTTTATTTTTAATGCAGGGTTTAATGCAGAATCATGAAGACATTGTAGAATATTTCAATACCAAGGGTGTTTCAGCTATTTTTCTGTTCAGAAGAAATCTTCTACGCAGGATGATTTCAATACTTGCAAACTCTTACGATCAAAATGCAAAGCCGCTGAATGGAACACATAAATCGCACGTGCATTCACCCCATGAGGTCTCTCTCTCGCCCTGCCAAATATTGTGCAACAATGCTAGGGTACATATATCATACACAGAACCGGACACAAAAAAGACACCAAGATTTTACAAAGATTTATTGGTGGAGACCACTTCTTAAAAATTCTATCCATCCATTTATTATCTGTATTTGGTTTATGTGTTTCTAAACTTATTGAATATCCTGAACATGTGATTCTCTCTCTCTCTCTCTCTCTCTCTCCATATATTAACCAAGTGATAATTTTTTTCCAGGCTGAAATACTTGCAAGATACAAACCAACAATCAATGCAACATTGCTGATCCCCGATCTGAGAAAAGTCGAGGAGATGGCTGCCAAAGCTTTAGAATATTTCAAAAGCACTCGACACATTATCCTTTACTACGAGGACATAATAAAAAATCGCACTGTAAGACAATTTATACTATATCAAAGTGAATCTCATGGTTATTGTTCTATATCTAAATATGAGCATTGACATTGGTGGGGCTATTTGTTTGTGTTTTCTGTTTTCTTTTTTTATTTTTCTGAAACCAGAAGAAATTTGTTGTGACGAATTGTTTCCAAAAAAATATTTTTGGGAAAATTTTCTGAAAAACACTGTAGTGTTGTTTTCAAACTAGTGAAAAACTATTTTTGCACAAAATGAAAACAATGTGACAATGGTGGGGTTTACAAACGTTGTATTGTTTTTTTGTTCCTGAAAATACTAAAAACAAAAACAAAGAACATGAAAATGAGATTCTTTTCGTTTTGTGGTTCCACAACCAAGTTTCATTTGTTTTGCAGAAACTGAAAGAAGTCCAAGATTTTCTCAAGGTTCCGCAGATGGATCTAAAGAGTCGTCAAGTGAAGATACACAAAGGTTCGTTGTCACAACAGGTTGAGAACTGGGATGATATCGAGAAGGCACTCATGGGAACGCCATACAAGAGCTTCCTTCATGAAGATTACCAGATGTAGACTGAGAGGAGAAACTGTAAATATCAATTTATTCTTTATTTTTTTTAGGGGTAGGAGGAGCCAACAGTAGTACACCCACCCACCCTGCCGTGCCAAAATTTCTGCCACAGCATTTGTCCATTACTGCTGAGTTTTGTCTGCTCTGTTCCAATTTTTATTTTTTTTAAATTTTTGAGCTGATATAGAAAGAAAACAATTTCACCACGCAAACTTCATTTATTATTAATTCTTTTTGTTTACCTGGAATTTTTAGTTCACTGTTGAGTTTTATTTTTGTTGTTGTTGGTCGGAACAATTTGAGAATAGTGATATCGTCAGTGTGTTGTAAAATTGGATTTTGCAAACCATGAGCAGATTTATACATTGGATAGATGGGCTTGATTCTTTGTACAGTTTTTAATTTTGTAAAATAGGCCAGTGGTCATTGTATGCAACACAGAAGAAGTTATCATAAAGAAATTAGAGTTTCCCAAGTATCTTGTGTCTCCTTAGGAGCTCTGTATAGACTTATGGTCATACATCTCCACAAGCTTTTAGGCTATGTTTGGTTGAGGGATTTGGAGAGGGGTTTGAAAAGGGAAAAGGAAAAGGTGTTTGAGATTAGGTGATATGTAAATATATTTTATTCGCATTTTATTATCTTTTTCTTTTCCTTTCTTAAATATTCCAACCAAACACAACGTTATTTTACACATGTTTGTTGAGTCTATTTACTATATGAGTCCCTCGTCAGAATTGAATTTTTATATTTTTAACATAATATTAGAGTTACAAGTCAAGAAACTCCGCACGATCACTAGAGAAAGGCACAACCATGAAAAGATTGGGTAGCCAGAATGCTACACTAAAGTGAGGAAGGAACTCATGGGTTGAAGAAAAGAGGATCATGAGTTGATCATACAGAGATGCTTTGATTTTTTATGGGCGTTTAGAGAGTTGGTACACATATTTATTCCATTTTTTGTGCAAGTTAAAAGCATATGGTCTTGAGGTTCGAAATTGAGTTTCTACAATGGAAGGTTAATCTTTGTCTGACCCTCTTTCCTTGCATGTGTCTTTGGGTTCATCAGAGTTTGACCGTTGTGGGGATGTACCTCAGGATTCATAAGGGTTTGACTCGTTGAGACGACTACTAGATTGTGTTGCCCTGAGTGTGGAAGGACTAGACAATATGAAGCTAATTAAAAGGATAGTTGATTGCTTGAATGAGTGTGATGTTTGAAGACATCAAAAAAGTAGATGATTAGTAATGTTACATGAACAAAATGGGAAGCAAACAAATGGAAATGGTGATTTTCTTCAAAGTTATTCTCAAGGAAATTCTTGAAAAGTTGTTGCTTCCACCAGCAATTTATTCTGTGGGGAAATGGTGACTTATATTTAGTTTTATATTTCAAATCATATTTATCATTTATTTATTTTTAATACAAATGCATTTTGATAAAAAAAAAAAAAAAAAAAAAAAGGTTAGCAATGTCCAATCAATTTGATTTTTTGCAAGTACGTTTTACTGAATATAAGTTCAGATCATTAAAACGAACACTATCAGTCTCTTAATAGTGATTGTTGTGCGACGGACCCAAACCCAATTATCCTTTGATTGTAATAATCAATTAACTTATCCTACTTAATTATGTCTGATGTGATTTTTATAAATAATAAATAAATAAATAACCAAATTCAAACATGTACTAAAAAATTTAAATTTTTTTGAATTTTTTTAATAACCCAATAACAATATAGCTCGTTGAATAATCAAAATTAGATCAAATATTATAGGTCAGTCCAGTCAAGTCTAGAATCACACAAGTTTTAATATGAAGTGCAAATTTAGGCCGAGTCCATGTTGACTGCTAGTGAATGTCAAAGTTTACCAGAAACATTTATTGAAAGTAATGTTTGATTATTTACAAAGACCTCATAATGCACCTTGAGATTACAAAAAAAGAAAAGAAAAGTTGGACTAATTCATTCTTTTCCAATTCTTTCTTATCATTTATTGTTTATAATTATTATAACATCACTAATTTTTCACAAGAATTTCAACATAGAAAGTAACAAATTGAAAAGGGTGAAAATTGCTAAAATAAAATGGAAAAATTACCGGAAAATCCCAAATGGTGAAATGTTGCACCATTTAGTCCTGTGTGTTTTCTTATGCACCATTTAGTCATATTTTCTTGTTAAGGAATATTTCCTTTCATTTGGTATGGATGGGGTTTACATTTTACCCTTAGGGGGCAGATTCAGAGGGATTCTTGTTGTTGATGTGCGGGTATCAACGTGGAAGGTAAGTTTTTAACATTTCCAATTCCAACTCCAACACTATACTTATCACTCCAGCTAAATTGGATAGGTACATCAACCTCGACGGGTCAACAACACGTTTAACAACACTTATTCCACTATTATTTTTGTTCTTGAAGGCCAACTAGGTTTGTCTCCTTGTTGCCAATTTTGTAGACGACTTCAATGATGCGTTCCGCCGAGGTATCCTACCACAATCACTACATTTCCAGTATGCCATCCAACACTACTTGTCACATAAATCATATAAACATATCAGTCCACGAACTACATAATCTACAACAACACTGGGCAATACAATAACACAACACTACCCAAACATATAAAACACTTGGTCCTAACACACCGCATTTTAAATCCTAACATTAACAAACATCAAAACGACATAAAAAATATGTGTTACAACAAAACTCGGGGCTTCATACAACACCATATGTATTACATTATGATTCCAACATTATTCTTCTACATCATGTCAGACTAATAACACCAAAACAGGACAACCATAACAAATACAAGACAACAAACATAACCGGAACGTCGTCTCCCACAACAAACCTAGTACTCACGTCAAGCCGTCCAACCATGGCATCAGACACATCACATCGGTATACTACCTCCACAATCCTTTACATCAATTGAAAACCACAACACAACACCAAACATCGCACAATTTGTTTTAACAACTCCACCACACAAATTTAATTTAACATATGAGTTCACAAGATTTTAACTTGATCAATTGGCAAACAACCATACTGACGTACACACCATCACTACAATTTGTTTACAGCAAGATTCACCCTCTCCTAACACCAACACAGCATTCAAATAACATGCACTGTACACACCCTTAAACCATGAACACATCATTTAACAGTTGTACAAACCCCCAACCAAAATACACTCCCAGTCCAAAATACATGCATACATACATGTTTACCCATGTTCACAACATCGGCAACCACAACACTCATCGCAAAAAAAACAACAAAAAAATCAAAAACAACAACCAAAATCAACCCACCAATGTGACTACCACAGAACAACATTACGATGTAAACATACACTCCCAATCCAAAATACATGCATACATACATGTTTACCCATGTTCGCAACATCGGCAACCACAACACTCATCCCAAAAAAACAAACAAAAAAATCAAAACACCAATTCTGCAAAGATGTTGGTCTGTCGATCAATATGAAACCCATACCTGATGTCATCTCGGAAGAAATCCAATGCCGCTTTTAACTCACTACCGCAGTATTGCCGCAAACCCCTTGCCAATATCAAGCAAATCGATTACACCAAACGTCGATTCCTATTTCTAGGGTTTCAATGACGCAAAACCCAAATTGGCAACTCTGAAAGACGGTTTAACATTACCAAAGCTAGGAACTTTTACACATACCCCATTCCAATGGATTAAACATTGAAAATCACAGATTTTCCATATTCATCTCTTCCGAGATGATCGGAAAGAAGGGAAACCAAAAACACGCAATAGTAAGTTTTTGGATATAAATGTAATTTCAACAGTGTTCAATCCTAGATTACCCACCAATTATACACCACACGCGCCAACATCATGGACACTTATGTCTTTTAAACTCAACCGGGACCTATCAGTGCATAAGATATAACACAGGACTAAATGGTTCAAGATTTCTTGTTTTGGGATTTATTGGTGCATTGCCCTAAAAAATTGACTTTAGCTTCTCCTAAATGGAAGTATAACATTCAAGTCATGTTTGTTTGTCTGATTGTGTTTGGTAGAATTATTCACCCAAAAAAGGGTTAGGTAAAATTATGAGTATGGTAAGATTGTGTGATAAGATTATTAATATAATAATATTAAGTTTGAGATATAAAATAAATTGTGTTTGTTTTGTATTGTGGTGATATTAGTTAGTTAAATTATATCTATAAAAAAATTTATATAAAACTCTTATCACATATAAGATAATTTTGTTCGTTTTGTATAGTGTGAGACAAAATTGTCTTTAAATCACCAATTTATGGGATTTAATTAGCAATCCCAACACTGTAGGAGATTGATAGTCTTACGAGATGGCTAATCCCACGTCAAGCAATCGACATTAAAATTTATTAAACATTTTTTTTCCCATTTTGAGCAGTAAGGTTATATTGAAAGATCATTAAGAACGAACATTTACATCAGCTAAAAGTAGAAAAGCTAACTCTTGAGACAAACAAGACACCCAACTGGTAGACAAGTCGATCTAGACTGAGCATTGGCCACCCAAAGAGCAATTCTGTTATTGGACCTTCTTGTCCACAAGAACCTCCAAGATATGTCTCTAGCACTTCTGTGAATATCAGCAACGACTGCCATTATCTCCCATGGAGGGACCGTCTCGGATAAACACAGCTTAATGAGCTCTTGATTGTCATTCTCAATTTCAATTGTAAGGAGACCGTGCATCTGGGCTAAACAGAATGCCAAACGCACTGCACACACTTCAGCTTGCAAAGCTGATGCCGAGAAGAAAGAGGTTACAATCCCGTTAATGACATGGCCCTCTGAATCTCTAAGGATGGCTACAGGAGAAGCTTTTGTCGATGATCTGTTGAAAGATGCATCACAATTAACTTTAAAAAACCCCACCTGAGGAGGTTTCCACCTAGAATCTTCTCTTTGATCCCTCAGGCTACCATCTACTGACACTGTGTTCTCTTCCCTCCCTTGTGTATTATATTCATGCCACCCATGGTCTATTTTTTGGAGTGTGTCATACGGATTGATGGGCACAGAGTGAAAATAAAGTTATTCCTTGCCTTCCATATATACCAACCAATCAAAGCAATCTTGCTCAGAATTTTCTTTCCAGATTCTTCAAACTCCCCATCATCTCCCTATTGAACTGTCCATTGCGCCATGTTTGGAATTGATTCTTGTTCCATCCGAAAATTCAATATGCTCCCAAACTAGACCGCCTTTGTCCGTTCACAATCAAACAGCATATGCTCCACTGTTTCCACTTCTTTTTGGCACACCGGACATATATTGGATGCAGCGCATCTACACCTAAACAGATTTGCCTTTGTCGCCAATAAATTCTTTCATGATCTCCACCAAAAATGGCAGATTTTTAGGGGTATTTGCAGATTCCAAATTTTTTTCCAAAAACTCCAAGGAAAAGAATAGGAGGAGGGGGGTTGTACCAAGAGGTGGTTCTCTAATAGCTTGTTGGCCAAACGGTACCCTGACTTCACAGAGTATATCCCCGACCTGTTTAGGTGCCAAACCAAAACATCTTCCCTATCTTCAAAAGGGTACGAGACTAACCGAATAGCTTTCAGCTCCTCAACTGTGACAATATTGCAGAGTTCTTCTACTTTCCATTGCTTGTTCACAAGGTCAATAACATTCGAAACATACAAAATATCACACTCTGGGGACTGATTAGAAGAGACCTTGAAATTTGTGGTTGTTGGTATCCAGCCATCATCCCAAAATCGGACTGATTTCCCATTGTGAATCTGCCATCGACATCCTTCTAATAATAACTCCCGGCCCTTTTGCCAGCTTGCCCATGCCCATGCGCCTCTAGCTGTATGTAAGAAATCTGAGTGTGGATAATATAGCCGTTTAAACATCCTAGCCCAATACCTTGCCTAGCCAGTAGAGTGTAACACCCCGAAATAATAACGACAACCCATTTCATGATATCCAATAGAAAAGCATAAACTTGTGAAATATTAATCTTTCATTTATATTCCTTTACCATACAAAAGATGACACATGCAAATATATATTCATAAATCCTAAATTTTGAATCTATAGCATATGCCATATATATGTGAATTAGAAATAAAAGATAATACAAATAAGTTTATGCCATAATGGCTACATCTTTCCAAGATATTACTTGATTACAACAAGATGGGTCAAGTCCAAAACAATTAAAAAACTTGAGACTTGTACAAAAGGAAATTATAACAAGAGAAAAAAAATGAGCCTTCAACTCCACGATCCTCCCAAGCTAAGTCGTTAGTGGAGGTATGTCATCAACACTTGAAAGTTGTTTTCCACGTAGAAGGAGCCAAAGCCTAGTAAAGATACTTGAACACAATGTATGAAACTTAACAGAGTCATAAGGTGAATGCAATGCAATGGAATGCAATGCCATTTTCAAAACATCATGCTATCTCTTTGAAAACAATGCCATGTCTCAATTATATGTGCTTCAATTCAATAAACAATACTTTTCAAGTTAGAAAACAGGGCAGTGGATACAAAACACTGGGAATCTCTAGATACGTGTTTTCCAGTAGACTATACAAGCATACCAAAGCTATTTTACCAGTACTAACCAGAAAGATCGGCACCTAACCGCGTAGGTTTCTGGACTTTCACCAAGGACACACAGACCAACAATATAAACTACAACCACACCTCCTAACTAAATTCACCAAGGTATACACCATTTTTTCTCAAAACAATCCATTTTCAATGATTAAGTATGAAACAATGCTCAATGCAAAATTTATGAGTAATTAGTTTCAACTAACCTAATCTTCATGCGATTTCTAAAACATCCTTCATTTTCAAAAATCACATTTTAGGAATGAATTTCCAACATTTCAATGCAACCCAACAATATTCGCACCCCCACAACTTTAGTTAAGAATTTATTTGAACTCCTCTTTTACATTTCAAAACCAAACTCTAGATTTAACTCAAAATTCCTAAATCACTAAACCTTTTCAAAAGCAAATAACTAAGCAAAGAATCATACCAATGGTTGAAGAAATCCCTACCTTAAGAGTAGAAGATGAAAAGAGCAAGGGTAGAAGTTTGACGTAGTCAAAAACAAGATCTTCTCCAATTAAAACGAAGCTTTCGATCAGCTCTACTTTTTTCTCCAAGGGACTATGGTAGAGAAATCAATGGATTAGAGAGTATTTGAGGTTTTAAACAAGAACTAGAGAGAAAAGGTAAAGAAATTAGGGTTAGGAGTGTTAGAGAGAGAGAGAGAGAGAGGAAATGAAAAAGTGACAAAAATCTCATTTCCCTAATCTGATATATACACAGACCACTTGAGTGACCAAATCATCGTTCAAACAACCAAACCACCGCTTGAGCATCAGCCACGAGCAAGTAACACTGCTTGAGCGACCAAAACACTGCTCGAGCGCATAATGACCCATTCCTATAAGTTTTACAAACTGTAAAAGACCGCTGGAGCAAAGATCACCCTACTCCCAGAAGTTTTCCAAACTTACAAAAATACTGGAAGATCTTAATAACTACTTGAGTGACCAAAACACCGCTCGCGAGCAAACAAGAAGAAAACTATACAGCAACTCTTTTGAAAACTAACTCCCAACCTATTTCAAACACAACCAACAACCCTAAACAACCAAACTCAACTAATAACAAGGCAAAAAGGAATATAGACAATGAATAAGAGTATCGGATCCTGGATCCAAGAACATAATAAGGTTTGGGTCTAAACTAGAACCGTTATAAAAGCTTGATTGAAATGTGAAAATTTTCGAAATCCTAAACCTCCTTCAGTTTTTGACATGCACAAAGATGCCCACTTAGCCCAATGAAATCCTCTATCCTTGGGATCTCCCTTCCACAAATAATTCCTGATAAAAGCGTCCACCTTTTAACAAAAACTTTGCGGAAAGTAAAAGCACGCCATTGCGTAAGAAGGTATAGCTTGCACAATTGCTTTAATAAGCAACCCCCTCCTGACATGAGAAAGCATAATGTTTTTCCATCCTTACATCTTAGTTACCATTTTCTCAAGTAAAAACCAGATGTTGTTGTTTTGGACCAACCCCACATCGAAGGTAACCCCTAATATTTAATATTTGAACTCGCTTGATTGATACTCATGGTTATGCAAATCCTCTCCCTTAATTCCTCATCTATATTGGCTGAAAAAAAATATCTCAGATTTGTCAAAATTGAGAAACTGACCCAAGGCCTTGCTATAATCGTGTAGAATTTGGACCACGTTCTGACACTCAAAGTTACTAGCTTTGAAGAAAAGAATAACATTAATGACTAAAAACAAATGCGAGAGAGTCGGGCAAAACCTATTCATTTTGAGTCCCTAGACTATTTTTGAATAATCAATTTGGACACAACCTCTGCCATAATCAGAAAAAAGGTAGAGAGATAGGGGTTCTCCTTGCTTGATCCCACAACTTAGAGTGAATGCAGCTTGTTTTTCTCCATTTACAAAAATTGAGATTTTGACTGTCGATACACACTTCATGACCCACCGAACGCATTGTGCACTGAAACCTAATTTTTTGAGCACTGCTTCTAAGAAGTCTTATTGAATCCGATCATAGACCTTATTGAAATCCAATTTCAATGCTAAGTCCACTTGCCTACTGTAACAACCCCGACCCATGATTAATGTTAATTCATGCTTAAGTATACCTAACAAGTAATTAATAAGAAATCCTGAGTTAATTGCTTGTGCATTGCATTGTTTGTGTTTATATCAGTTAAATGTAGAAAGATCTGTTCATGTTTCCGTTTTGGTTTGTGAATTGAAGGCCTTATCGGCATCCGATTCAGAAATTAAGTTAATATATGTGTTATTCGGGAATTATAGAAATTTGTAGTAGGTTTAATTGAAATTCGATTCAGAACGATTTAAATAGATTAATTTGATGCT